CTCTCTAAGGACCAGTCCCTCCTTGCAACATGCCCAAAGTATCTCAGACAAAGCTTCAGAATCCTTGACTCCAAGGAGCATTCTGGCTTCACCCTCTCCAGGACAAACCTATTTGTTCTCCTAGCAGTCCATGGCATATTCAACACTCTTCTCCAGTACCACAGCTCAAAGACATCAATTCTCTTTCTATCAACCCTATTCACTGTCCAACTCTCCGATGCATAGCACGTAACTGCAAAGACTATAGCCGGGATCAGGTGCACCTTAGTCTCCAGCTTGACGCTGTTGCTCTTCAGTACTCTTGAGAGGTCCCTCACAGCTGACTTTCCCAATGCAATTCGTCTCTTGATTTGCTGGCTGCTGGTACCAAGAGTGTTGACTGTGGAGCCAAGTAAACTAAACCTGTTAACTATCTCAATCTCTTCACCATCCATACTGATGCTGCCAATTGGACCAATGGTGAGAATCTTTGTTTTCTTAATGTTGAGCTTCAATCCGTATTAAAGGCTGCAGGAGATGTTCAATAAATATGGCAAACATAACTACCAATAATAGTCTTAACAAATAAGTTTCCTACATATATACATGACCCATATGCTCAAGTGATCACTTTTCTTTTGTGTTCCTATGATAAGTTTATTAATACAACTTATATACCACTATAAATACCTATCTTTATGTCAGAGTCCCTCCTAGACTATAAACTCCAAGGGTATGGAACATATCTTTTATACCTTTTTATCACTAGTACTTAGAAACTTGACACTGACAAAAAAAAATCCCGATGCCAAAGTTGATTCTGACTTGGGACAAAGTAAAACTGCCTACAGAGTTTCCAAGGCTATAAATAGTTATAGGGCTGAATGTCTCATCTTTCTCTGATGAAATGATAGGCTTTTCCTTAATATTAAATATGAGTTCTAATTCTAGTTATATTATTCATTAGTTGGAAGTCACAAGATAATTTTTTAATCCCTTTTAGCCTCAGTTTTCTTATTAGTATATCAGAACTAATAATGCAAAACCAGACAATTTAGTTAATTGTGACTCACAGGGAGACTACAAAGCTATCATAGAATGTCAAATCTTTCTCCCATGGAATAGCTGGGAGGTTCAAATTGCTAACCTTCTGGTTAGCAGGTGAGCATCTTCACCACTGTGCTTACCAGATCTCCTACACTAATAAATACCTATTTGAGTTACTATTATGAAAATGAAATAAAATAACATAGTACAATGATTAGCATACACAGTGCCTGACATGTAGTAGCCTCCCCTCTTTGTTTTTAATTTGACAGAGACAGGAGGATGAAATAAATAGAAAAATAAGCCACAGCAATCAAGGGAGACTGAGCATAGAGTGAGTCATTACTTTTAATCATTTGCCCAGGAAATCAACAATGAAAAAGGATAAAAAGCCGATAAAATCTATTGGTGCTATCTCCCTAGATGCACACACAGCTTGGTCAGAAAACAACCCAGAGACCTCTTGGCTAATGGCCACATCTGGCTCCCCAGCCCAGCAGGTCATATCTTAATCTTCAGTACCAGGCATGGTTAATTGAGACTAGGACAGAAATACCTCATAAAGAGTGTGTTTACAGGAGAAAAAAGGGGAGGAGAAGGAGAATTTGACTGCAACTACATCAATCAAGTGTTTGCAATCTGGCAGAATATACTGCAAAACAGTTGGTGAAGACTAACACCCACACAACTGCACTTACCTGTAGCCAAAAAACAGCTTAGACTAGATAATGAGCAGCTTTTTGCAGTTATCAAAACAATAGTCAGACTTGCACTGAGCAAACATTTCTCAGGTCAAAATTCTTTTGAACCTCTAGGCAGCACAAACATGACAACAAACTGCTTTGTACATACATTCCTTAGACTCTGAGCACAGGCCATAAACATCAGGTTTACTGCTCTGTGTACCAAACGCTGGGGCAGATTCAACAACACCTCTGCTCCAACTTCAGAAAATGCTTACCTCTGCAGAGTCATTGGTACTCAGATCAGCTTGCTCCTTGGAGTCTTTCTTCATAAAATGTTGTGTGGCTACCGTTGTAACCACTTCTTCCTTGGTACTATCTCTCTTCTGAAGCTTCCTGATTAAGATATGATGGTCACTGGAAGATACAGCAGGTATCAGTGGTGCTCTGGTCCTCCGAGATGCTCTGCTCCAACCTAGCCCCAGAAGAGGTGGTGTATTATCCTCAGGTGGAAAGCCCAAACCATGTACAATCTGGGATTTTTTTAAAAACACTAGCATTGAATTAGACGAGTCTGTCTTAAAAGCCTGGCAGCTCTGGGGCCTGCTGCAGTTTGCCTGAATGCACATCCCTTCCAGCCACCAAAAGGCATGGCAGGCAGAGTCCTGACAACAGGCGGCCCAACATGACTGGAGAGCAGTTCCTTCATGAAGCCAGAGGTGATTTTCTCCTCCAGATCTTAGGCCAACACCAAACTCTGTCTTCCCCTGTTGGCACCTGCTCCCACTGGCATCTAAAAACAAAAAATGAAAGCATTTTAAAATGAAATAAAAACAGAGACTACTTCTCTGTAAGGAATCCTCAACTCTAACACTTGAGATTATTTTCAAGAATGGTTTTTATGAGGGTGGGAAAGCTGTCTAGTGAATGAAACACAGGAAACAAAAAATATTTTTTGGCTCCAGATATTTTAGCTTGTATAAATACTGCTCCATATTTGTTAATGGCTCATCTCAATGAGTCCCCTCCACAGATCTTGACACAAAAGCTAGTTCATGAAAGAGATAAACAGAGGACCTAAAAAAAAAAGTTGAAAGGTGGGGAGAACTGAGGCCCACCACCTTTCACCTCCCACTTACCCTCAAAGCATTTCTTAGGGACAATATGAAGACTACAGGACCAATGGACAATGGAGTAGGCAGATTAACAAGCTGGAATAGTTATTTCCCTCATAGAGCTGGCTACAATATAAAATTGAGTATTTCTGATCTCATGAATATTTCAAGTAAGTTCATTTCAATCAGTTGTTTGCCAAAGCCATGGGGTTTTGCACATTCACAGCGTCAGTCACAGCAGTACAGAGGTTTACCAAAAATGTTACTTTGAGAAAAAACTTGCAAATGAAAAGATATTTGATGGCAAAGATAGAGGGTTAGTAAAAAGTAGAGGATTAGGGAATGAGAGATATAATGGATTGACACAATGACTGTAACAATGAAATTAAGTATGGTGGAGATTATGAAAGTGGCACAGAATAGGGAGAGGTTTTGATTTGTGGTTCACAAGGATCAAGAAGTCTACTGCTATTAAGCTAGGCAGTATGGTCCAAAATTCTGACTAGTGCTGTTTTTGGACAAACTTTGGGCTACTGAATTACATTAGGCATGAAACTAATATTCTTGAAATAATAATACCTTTTGTTTGTTGTTGTTGTTGTTGTTGTTGTTATGTGCCGTAGAGTCCTTTCCGACTCACAGCGACCCTATGCACAACAACCCTAAACCCTGCTCTATCCTGCGCCAACCGCACTGCCTCTGATTACCCCAGTCACCGAATCAATCCATCTCATAGAGGATCTTCCCCTCCTGCGCTGTCCCTCCACCCTCCCAAGCATGATG